AAATAGATACCACAAATATTTGGGTTTATTACTCATCAGAATAATTATTTAAAGTCATTATAAACAACCCACAGAAAAGGTGCACGAAGTTATGGATAAGAACTGGATTGCTACGCTTAGTCAGAATAATGCAGCAGTAAGAAAAGAAGTTAAAGAATTATTTTGTCAGAAATTACAAAGAGAAAAGATACACAAATGTATATATTGTCAGAAGAAAGATACAATACATAAAATATGACTTAAAGTTGAAGAAAAGTCCAGTGGAGTACAGATGTAAACAAAAGAAAATTAATGCAGAAGAATATTCTTAGAATTATCCTCCGCTTTCGACAAAATGTATAATTAGAGCATCTTTTCAACTCAAAATATCAACCACTGATGTTAGTACAGAAGAATATTTATAGAATTATTCTCCTTCACCAAGAAAAAGTAAAATTATTAAAGCATCTTTTCAAACCACAAGGACAAAAATTAAAGCCACTTTACAGATCGAATTATTCCTGAAAAGGGATAACAAGGACAATAATTAAAGTCACTTTACAGCTTGAATTATTCATGAAGATAAATGGCAGTTGTAATATGGAAGAACTTCCCTTGGTTCCTTTTTTCTCTTCTTCTCCCTTAGTTGTAATATAATGTATGTTGGCCACAGCGGCTAAATATTATCTTCTTGCTCAGTGTGTGTAAGTTTGTTTTTAATGTACTAATGGCTATTATGATTCTGTTGGTTTGTTTAAATATATGTTTTACTCTGTCTTAATTCTTATCTTGTATAGCTACGCATAAGGTAGAAAACAAACTAATAATTTTTTTTTTCCTGGTGGAGGAGAATAATTCTAGGAATATTTTTCTGTACAAACATCTGTGGTTGATATTTTGAGCTGAAAAGTTGCTCTAATTATACTTTTTGTCGATAATGTAGGATAATTCTAAGAATATTCTTGTGCATTAATTATCTTTTGTTTATATTTGTACTTCGTTGGACCTTTCATCAAGTTTAAACCATATTTCTTGTATTGTATTTTTCTTCTGACAATACATAATTTGTGTATCTTTTCTCTTTGTAGTTTATGACAAAATAAATCTTTAACTTTTTTGCTTACTGCTGCATTATTCCAACTAAGTGTAGCAATTCATTTTTTATACATAAATTCATGCACTTTTTTTGTGATTGTTTGCAAAGACTGTAAATAAATAATTGTTTTGATGAATAATAAACTCAAATATTTGTGGCATTTATTTTCTTGATTTCTATCCAAATCTGATATAGATCTTCAGCAGTAGATCTCTAGAATAATTTCATAGGTTTATATTTAGGAGTGTAAGGTTCACTGTTTATTCCAAGTTGTATAAGAGATACAACTCCTCCTCTTAATTCTGGATAAGTTTGATACATTTTTATATAAAAATTCTAATATTTCACTACCTGATGAAAGACATCTGCAGTTTCAATTATAGACTTTGGTAATTCTTTGAGGAGATTTTCATCCTCTAGATATAACATTCGGATTAATCCGCATTTATACAATTCTGATACGAGTTTTTAATCAGTGTTTCCATAAATGTAGATAACTTGATATTTTTCTACTATGTGAAAATTAATTCGAAGATTAATTCTTTTTTCATATAATGATAATTACTATCATCCTTCAGCAATATCTGTAATTCTCTTAGTAATATCTTGTAATAGTTTTGCATAACTACGTATATTTTTTGAGAATGAAGTCTCTTCTCTTAGTAGTATCTTCTACTTTCTTTATATTTTTTGAAAGAGTTATTTCCTTTGGATTATTTTCTGTTGATACGGAGATTAGCAAAATCTCTTATCTTCTTTAATTCTGGTATATCTTCTTCCAGTACTTCTCATGTCAAATAATTCTTTAATTTTTTTAATTCTTTCAGAACATTGCTGGCAAGAGCCATTTCACATTCTATTTTCTAAATTTGTAATTCAACAATTTCTAAATAGTTATTTAAATCTGAATTAAGTTTTTTCCTCAGCCTCGCTGAATACTTCATAAGTTTTCATACTTTCTATGTCCATATTTATTTCCTACATAATTCACGAGATAAAATGTCAGCTAAAATATTTTTATTAGATTCTATATATTCTAAATCAAAAGAGTTGGTGGAAAACCAACTTTGTCATCTGCTTAATCTTTTATTTGGCAAAAAATCCACAAGTTTTCCTTTTATAAATAAGATTGCAGTTTTAATATCTATTCTTATTAAGAATGTTTCATTTAAGATTATTTCAAATTTTTTAATTTTTTTCTTTATTGCTAATAATTTTTTTTGTTAATATGGTAATTTCTATAATGGTGTAAGTTCCTGAGTTAATCTACATAAAAGTTCATTACTATTTCTTCTGGCTTTTAAAACAGGCCATGAAATTTTAGAACTAATTGTTTCTATAATTAGATAGTCTTCTAGTATATGCAAATGTAGTTTTGGAAGATTTTTACATAATTTGGTTAAAAATTTTTTCATCTTTTTAGTCTCAATATCAGAACATATTTTTCTTCAATTTTTTCTGCGAAAGCGCTTTTAATTCTATAAGATTTTTAACAAATGGTTCAACGTAATTGATACATCCTGGAATTCATTATAAATCATTTTGATTACTTATTTTTTTAAAATGATCTATTTTTGTTAATATGTATTCTTGTAATTCAATAGAGCATTTATCTATTACAATTCTTAAAAACTCTATATTGTTAGTTAGAATGATTGTTTTCATTTTACTTAATGCTATACCGTATTATTGAGCTTTTTGAGCGAGCAGAGTTAAATGTTTTAAACGTTCAGTAATGATTTGACTAAAAATTAAAATATCATCTATATATATAAGACAAAAATGTGATAATTCACTAAAGATATTATTCATTCTTCGCTGAAATATTTGAGGGACATTTTTAAACCAAAGGACATTACATTTCATTGACAATGTTCTCGTGGTGTCTTAAATGAAGTAAATTCTCGACTATCAGGGTGCATTTTAATTTGCCTGAATCCTAATTTGCAATCTAATTTAGAGAACAATTTGATAGTTTTAATATAATTGAATAATATTTCTTTATTTGTTAGAAAATGACCGTCAAATTTGGTATTATTGTTAAGTTTTCAATAATTATTACTAGGCTTGCTTTTCCTCTTTTTTGTTCTGCGTGATTTCATACCAAAAAAGTTGGACTACTATGTGGATTATTGTTGGGTTTTATTAGTTTAAGAACTTGTAATTTCTTAATTTGAATTTGGAATTTTTTTTTATCTTCAGAGGTATATTTAATGGGTCTTACGCTTATGATGAGTGCAGGGTTAATTGGTTCAATTATAGCTACAGACTCGTCTTGTTTCCAAAACTGTGATGGGTTTTCTGAGAATGTCAAATTAAATAAAAAAACTGCAAAAGATAATAGTTTATCAAGTTTGCGTCATCAGAGGAGGATGTAGTTTTTAGACTTAGGTTGTTATTAAATAGATGAGGGAAAGAATTTTTTAGATTTTGGTCAATTGGGAAATCACCCTAAATCATGTTTGATCCAATGCTTTTAAAAAAGTGCTTTGAGGAGTGCTTCGAAGAGCTAAACTTAATTTACAGGTTTTTCTTTTGTAATTTTCAAGTTATTAATTATTGGAACAAACTATTAGAAATTGTTCAAAATTTTAATTTGTAGGTTTACCCTCAATGCTTGCCTTCAAGTTAGGAATTATACCACATTCTTTTTTATTTATATCGATTTTTAAGTCATATTTTATATTTTGTTATAGTTAATGAATATATTATTTTGTTACTGTTAATGAATATATTTATACAACAATGTTTTATATACCATATTAGAGTTTTAGTAAATAAAAGCGTCGCTTCCCTCTACACTTTACGCTTTGAAGCAAAAAAAAGGTCTTACGAATCGCATTGTGCTTTGTGCTCTGATAACATTGGTTTGATCTTTGTATAATTACCACTCTCTTAAACATAATTTTCTTCTTAATAATCGGCATCAACATCATAATAACAACCATATTCCCTACTATACCTTGCAGAATAGTTGAGATACAGTTGACCACATAACAAGAGGTAAAAAAAGGAATATAGCAATTGGACTTTAACCTTCAACAATATTTATTTACCCCCCTTCTGTTAAAATAATAAGATAAAAATTTTAAATATCTTTACTCTTCATTAGCCACTTATTTGTACTAGCAAGGACACTAAACTTCGTTGCAATCTCTTCTTTGGTCATATGGGTATATTCTGCTGCCGCATTCAAACAGCATATAGCAATCAATGGCTAGTCTGTTTGGCCAAAGTAAACTTTATTAAACAAACCATACACTGATTAAGAATATATCCATAGGCATACAGGATAATATTAGCTCACAAAGCTATTTTAAGACCGCTTAGGGGTTGTATGGTAAAGGATTTAAGTGGGATAAATTTAAATCTATCAGACAAAAAAAAAAGAAGCAGATTTTAAATCCTTAATTTAGTAAAATCAAATTTCCTCTCAATTCCTCTCAGTTTTTTCTTAAATCCCAGCTTACTCAATCCTAATGTTGGTGGGATTTAGTAAATTCCGATTTACCAGATTTAGAAAAGCTGTTATCAGACAGCCTCTCAATGCAGGCTTCTCCAACAAAACATCTCAGCTGCAAAACATTTTTTATCAATCAACATCAGAACAGGCTAATTTAAGTCCTATTACACTTTAAATAATAAAAAGATGAAATAAATATGATAGATATAAAACTGTATAGACAATAAGTCAAAGCTTAGATGTTGACTGGAACAAGAAATAAACAGATTCACAAATGGAACTCAAGTAAACATTATTTTGGTAGAACTGCACAGACAGGTTCTGCTTAGTTATGTCCTAACAAAATTTAGAATGATAAATAAAATAGAAGTGCTACATTCATCAAGGGTCATCATATTATAAGAAGCCAATCACTGTAATTTAGATTAAATATAGATGTAGAAACCAAAGAAGCGGTGATACCTGTAAAACATCATTCTTCAGCTCAACTGTATCATGTTCAGGAATGGAGTCCAGAACTGACTTTTGGTTTCTCCTCTGCAAACCAACTTTAAGAGTTTTAGTGAGGATGATAGGAGTACCAGAGAAAAAACCAGCAATATAAACTTCCATTGTTGGCAAAGGCATTTCAGGACTTCTATATTGTTTTCCCTTCAAGAAGCTAACACCAGCTGACACCAAGGACTGGCACTTTATACTCCATTTCTTTTGATCCCATTTTGAATCCCCTTCATCATCCTTCTCCTTGCACAACTCCAAGACTCCAGTAAGTAAGAGTTCATCTTCATCAAACACCTCAAACCTGAAACTGCCAGTAATTCTAATATTATCTGTACTCACAAAAGTGGCTTCTTCAGATTTTTTATCAAATCTGTCCCTCCTAAGAAAAGAAGAGACACAATCCGAATAGATGCTACTTCTTCGACCATTCACCTCAAGAACAGTATCAGGGTGTAATGGAATGTGATTCACAGTAAGATGGTCCGGAGTAGATTCATCAACTTCACAGTTGCAGATTCTTATGTAAAAGACCTTCAGATCGAACCAAGGTGGTAACTTGGGAAGGTAAAGAGGGTGCATGATGATCATCCCACCAGCAGCGGATGAATCTTCCTTGAAAACTGGATCATAACTTTGTTCCATCATCAAAATAAAACTCACCTCAAACTTCCTTTAACATCAACCTAGGTAATTTCAATAGAGAATGAACCATAAACACCAATTTGTGTTCTCTACCTGCAAAGCGAGGCAATCATTAATCTAGCCAGGGCCAAATCAAAGAAAAAAAATAAAGTTCAGGTGAGCAGGAAATTTGGAGACAAAAACCTTCCTTACCAATAAACTAGTTTGGACAAAACAAATGAAGAATATAAGCAAAACAGACAACACTCAGCAAACAGAGACAAACTATGAGAACAAGAGAATGAAAATAAAACAAACCAAAATGATTCCCGAAAACAAGAGAAAGAAACAAAAAACATAAAATAACAATAATAAAAATAAAATTCCTTGATCGTCACGGAAGAAACCAAGAACAATATAAGAACCTATATTTTCTCATCAATGCTAGAAATTTGAAAAAAGAATGAAAATAAGTTTGAAAAGCTGAAATCAATGTCAACTAATTCATTCTTAGTCCATAAAGTATTGGAATTTCACATCATTCTCTTCACATTCATTCAAACCAAAGCAATAAAAAAACTGCAATTTTTCACAAGCCGCAAGTATAATACATGGAAGTTAAAAGTAAAAAAGAGGTAAAAAGGAAAAAACGACCATCCTATCAAATTCTCCACAAGAAAAGCTCAATTCTGCCATAGAGTGAAATCAAAATTTCTAGATGTGATCCTTCAACACGAATAGACCTAGACCTCAAAGTTCCCAAGAAAATAAACAAAATATACCCAATTCGCGCGCACGCAACACAGACTGTAAAGAGCCCCGGTTTTATCAAACAGTTACGACGATAAATCCAATAGTATCTCGCAGAACACAACACCCAAGCAATAAGAAACAATCATGCAGACTTAATTCCGATGAAATTGACGGCAATGATCAGCACACACCTAGGAGAAAATCGAAAAAAAAAAAGAAATAATTAATGGAAAGGCGAGAAAGGGATGGTCGTAGTACTGCGTTCGCTGGATGTCTTCCTTATCCGAATACGATGAGAGATAGCATTCGGCTCCGCTTCAGAACTTCTACAAAAATTTCTCAAGATAAAATAAAGGGGAATTTGCAAACATACCACTCAAAATATCTTAAATAACAAATCTAGCACCTAAATAAATTTCGATATATACCAGCGAAAACATTTAAAATCTATCACACGCCTTGCTTCTCCCTCTACGTATCCATTTATATTTTTTTTTCTCCAGTAAAATTTTCATCTATAACGTTTGTTCTGATCTCGTGGGCACACAATTGAAAAAAACTGGCACACTAACCTGTGTTTGTTTGGGGCAGCTAATTTGGGTTTGTTTGGGGCAGCTGCAGCTTATTAATAATCTGTTGATAAATAACTGATTCAAGTAAGTTGTTGATCAATAGCTGATCTTGATAAGCTAGTTGAGTGTTTGACTTATGCAGTTGGAAAATAACTATTTTGTAGTTGTTTATGAATAAATGATCATTATATCATGTGCAGTAGTGTTGTTTGAATAAAAATTATTATAACAATATATTTGATACTTGTGAAGCAAAAAAATACTTCAAAATAGTGCAAAAAAAAAATACACACTCCAATTAAGAGCGAGCACCAAAAAAATACACACTCCAATCAAAAAGCTATTAAAATTGCAATTAGAAATATGATGGGGCATTCACACACAAACCACATAATTCTTATGTATGCACATATATAGCATATAATCTTCGATATTTCCACACATACCCGTCAAATCTTTAACATCACAATAAAAATACCACAATTGCTGATTTTTTATAAGTGAAATAAATCTCTTCATGTGTGGGTTTTTTCTGTTAAGGTTTATTTACCCCAACATAACTAACATTCATCTCTCTCCCTCTCTGTCAATAACAGTAACTACAGCTGACCCACTTTACTCCTTTCCTCTCTGTTTTGGTCAAGAAAAAAAGGCCAGCAAATGTTTATGAAAATATCCAAACAACAAGATTCCAAATAAAAACATATGATTGCCAAGAAGCTCTAGAAAAATGCATTTACTAGCTAGACAAACAAAATGAAGTTGTTTGAACACGAAAGCTTTATAGATAGAAGAAATAGAAGGGAAAGAATCAATCATGTATTATTTGTCAGTGATTTTGTGTGTTTATCAAGCCAAATGACAGAAATAATAGCATAAGAAGCATAAAGGTGCATAAAGTTGCACAGAAAGGAACCCAATAAGCACTGGGATCGCCTTCGGGAAGTTGTTGGAGAGAGCGACGTTCAGTGCGTGCTCTCTCACGGAGAAGGAAAAGGCAACACTGCAACCTGCTTCCTTTCTTGCAAAGTCAGAAATGGGGACACGAGGACAGCAGGGGAGCAACGATTGGCATTGCAAGATGCTAGGCAGGGATTCGAGGAGGTGTTGGGCAACTGAGAAATTATGTGTGTTTCGAATAATAGGAAACGCGGACCGCGGGTTCAGGGTTGAACCTGTGGCCTATGTTCCTTTGAAATTATCAACGAATGCCCCCTGAAATGCAAAATCCAAACGAAAAAAAAATTTCTGAAGCTTGGAACCGCCCCGCGCAAGAAAAACGCCCTCAAACACACCCTTAGATAAAACACTGCTCTGAGTCCATTGAAACCAGCACGTCACTCTCCTTCATTTAAAGCACAAAAATAAAATAAAATATGGATGCACTAAAATTGTCAGCATGAATATCAAAGCAATCAAGAGGCCCGGGATAATGACCAGGCAATTGATGCATCAAACTAGAGAAACATGATCAAAGTGAACCGTTCAATGATCAAACATTTAGTTAAAGTCAACTGTCATTCTATGACAAGGAATTCAATCGGTGGACCAAGCCTATGATCACGACCACCTAAACTCCTTATAAGGGCACTTGATTGCCACTAGTCGACTAGTCGGCTTTTACTTTGCCAGGCACGATCGCCTCAGTTGACCGAACTAAAACAAGTGAACCAGCTGATTACCGCCATATTCAAATTTAATTGTAATATAAATTTAGTATTAAATCAGCATAATGATTGCATTAAGGGTTGTTTCCATAATCGATCCCTCTTTTATATAATTGTATGAATACACTCATATAAATAGGGGCAAGAAAAACGATTAAAGGGATCGCGGTCTGAGGACTTCTTCTCGTCCTCTCTATTGAGAATATCCAAACACTTTTCCTCTCTGTCTTCTCCTCCCTCTCCATGCTCTAACTCTCAAGGCTTGTATTTATAAAGACAAATCAAGATTCAATATCCTGAAAGGTGGCGCGATCAGCGTGGACATGCCCCATACGAGAAGCGCAGCCAACTATAAAGGAGAATCCTTGTAGAGAAAAATAGTGCCCATAGAATTCAACAGAGAGACGGTGCCTCAAGACATACATAAAGAGATCCAGATGCTGTGAGCAAAAATTATGGATCAATTTAAGTCCCTTCAAGTGTTCATAATGCAAAAAAACATCCAATCGCCATAGTGGGAGGGAGAATCTTGAGGAACTCGCCCTTAAAGAGCTCCCTGTAAAATTCCTCTAGCACCTAGGTCAATGATCAGCTGACCGAAGGCAAGCAAACTCATCGCACATTTATAGTGTGGGGTATACACCGATATTCAGAAATCGAGAATACCAAGAAGGGAGCTCCCACCAGACTGACATAGGCAGTGCCTTCTCTAGATGAATCTTAAAGAGTGTCCCCCCAGCGAAGCTAAGGATTTCTCACTTCAATTCTTATAAAGAAAGAGTGACCTGGCTAACCATCTAGCCTCTTTCTAATCATCAGTCGGAGTCGTAAAAATTGATGACGCCAAGAAGTGTCAGCTATTAATGATAATGTTCATAGAACCTGCACTCTATTGGTTTAATAGCTTGTCAAATGGAATCATCCCCTCCTTCGTTGACATTCAGAAGCTCTTTCTTGTACACTTTGCTAATGGGCAAAAATCGAGGAAGGGCATAGACACTCTGCTTCAAATTAAGCATGAGTAAAATGAAATCCAGCAAGCTTACATCACTCATTTCTAGAAAGAGATGTTAGAGGTAAAAAATTTGGAGTCCCTTATTTTTCAGACTGCTCTGAAGCTAGGGATTCGAGAAAAGTGATTTATATATGATTTGAACCTACTCAAGATAATGATCTTTGCGGAGGTCTTAGAGTTAGCAAATTACCACATCACTGTCGAAGAAGATCATATGGAGTCCTCAAAAACAAAATTGAGAGCATCTGATCACTAGTCACAGAAGTGAAGGTGCAGGATGACGACAAAAGTCCAAAGGGCGATCAAGCCCTTAGTGTCGATAGACCTATAATCCTCGATCTCGGGATGGATGAGGGGGTCACCAAAGAAGCAATAGTCAGCTATATCATCCTAATCAGCAGTTAGCTCAGTACTATACGCGAACACATATATATCGAGAGATGCAAGGATCGACACCCCTGAACATGTCATTGTCCGAGCAAGTCCGGGACATTCAAAATAAGAACTACTTCAAAAAATCCCGTCAACTAAATACTATACAAAGCATTAAAGAATCCGAACAAGTATTGTGCCTACTATTGACCTCATTTTTTGTTGAGGTCTAGTGTTCCTCTTTAGTAGCCTAAGGTCTAGCCATAGGACTTCCTGTTGACTATTTCTAGAAAAAACTAGAAAAGGAACCCTCATCATTAGAAATTCTAAACTCCTCTTTACTCAACTTGAAGTTCTACATATTGGTCCTAAACTCTAGCACTTAGTAGGTGGGGTCACTATGGGGGAGCTCAAGAAGAGTTACTATAGGACTATTAGACCATAGGGTTGGCCTTGGGTCTTGGTCTAGAGCTAAGGCACTCACCAGCAATCACCCCACTCACAACCACTCACAAGCGCAAACCAAAATTTCTTAACTTTGGTCCCTTGATACTTTTGGGATACTCATGTAGATGGTCTCCTAAACCCATTCGCCCTAGGCTAGGGTTTAGTTAAGACCAGTACATAAAGGACCCAAAATGGGGTTTCCATTGGTCCATGGCTTATTTATGGCGGTTAGCACCCCAACTCTACCAAAATGCCCAACTTAGTCTTTTGCTCTTAAACTCCCCAAATTACCTAGATACCCTTGGGACCCTAAATTTGGCCAAAATTTTCAAATTTACCCAAAATACTCAAATTTGTTCAAAAATCATTTCAAACCTTTTGAAAACACCCAAAAAATACCACTCCTTAGCCCAATATTCCAAAAATTCTAAAAAATCCCAAAAATTTCTAAAATATTCAAAATATTCCCAGTTTCACTTTTCTCAACTACCACATGACCCAATTTGGCCAATTTGACCATTTTGACCAAAGCCATTAGTTAGATCCTTGTGACCAGTCTAAACTCCATAAAATCACCTAAGCTAAGCCATGGACCAAAGGTCCCCTAAATTAAGGGATTTCATTCCATATTTGCTTAAGCTTAAGTTTTTTTTTTCCAAAACAAAGCCCAAGCCCATTTAATTGCTGTGACATATTCCTCTAAGGTCCCTGGCCCTCTAGCCACCTCCCCTGGCCTGGTCGACCGACCTAGTGGTCAAAATACACCAAAACCATGAGCCACCCTCATGGAATCAAACCCATTTGAAACCTAGAGGCCACCACATCCAAATTAAATGTTAGAGCCTCTCTGCCCTCCACCTAAGCATCACTCTTCACCCCCTCATTGGCCATGGTAGTAGCAAGCCTTAAGCCATTTAAGCCATTTTTATAAAAAGCTCACCTTCACGACCATGGAGGGAGTGATGAAAATTTCTCAGAGAGACCCCTCCAAATTTCTACCAGAGACTCTTTGAGACCTCCTCAGCTCAAGCCAACCACTTTCCCCCACTGATTCATACCGTGGAAGCTCAATTTTGAGCTTAAACTTCTACTAAAAACCAGGACAGAGCTCACCACCCCAACCAGGACAGAGCTCACCACACCTCTACAGTCCATCAAACTCAAATTAAATTCACCCAC